TCGCCCGAGATTAGGGCCCACTCCCCCGACATACACGCGCTCGCCGTTGGTCCTGTGGGGCGTTAGCAATGATATTAAAGCGCACTTCAGTGTCCTCGCCCGAGGTTTGAATACACGCCCCAACTTGCCCTCGTAACGTTTTTTATTTTACATGATTATTGGGATCTAATTTGTTCCTTGTCGTGCCCCGACCGTCCCCTCCCCTAAAATCTGGAGCCCGTAAGACGGAGGGGCGCGCTTCGCGCGCTCCCCAGGCGGCCCTACGAGGTACTCCTACCGAACTTTCTTTTGCTAACATGGACTTCTCACATCTTGCACTGATGGCACAACGTAGAATTTGCTACGATGCAAATACCATATACAATTTGATTTCATCCACACCCATGCCTAACCGTCTTTTTTTCGAATCTGGATACAAAGGTCGGCTGTGGCTTTCCTTCGTTCCTACTTTTCCAAAGAAGGACACCTGAAAGTGAGAATCAAGTGTGATGACAAAGTGCTTGCTGTCTCCAACGTCAGTCTTATTGATCTGCTTCAGCAAGTTGACCACGCTTTCCTGCAACCCGTCTCCTCTGAGGAAACAATCTGGGTTGGTAATCCTGCTAATCATTGGTAAAATATGCAGATTTTCGCCTCCGTTGTCTACTTGCAGTTTCTCCTTTTCCCTTACAGTTACATCCCGTCAATGTGCAGAAGCAGTCAATTAAAAACGATCCGGGGGATGGTTCTGATGCGGCATTTGTTGTCCTACGTATTGGCCTACAGCGGGATTCCGCAAAAGCTGTTGCTAGTAGGCCACTTACCAGCTGTGATGAAACTGTTACTTTCTCGGGCAAGCCACAACATCCAGATGACAAAGATGTGTTGCTTGCTTCCAATGGTTAGTAGTATTATAGTAAAAGTCTTCTCTATTTTCTTAATATACGTACCTGAACTTTTCGTCGATCGCAACGTGGGCGTAGATGGTTCATTTGCGTCAAGTAGGCATGCCTATGACCTCGTCATTTTGCTTCCCCTGTGAGTTTGATGTAGTTATACCTGTTTTGTTCATTCCTGTTCTGAGACCTTGGTGTTAATAAAATTTTCCATTCATTCTCGTCTTCGCATTGGAAGCTACTTGGTGTATCTCTGTGTTGCCTGCAAGGTTGATGCTATTCCATTATCCAACTTTCTGAATTTTGTTCCTGGAAATATGTTTACAAGGCTTGTTTCAGTAGCACTCTATTTTGGTCGATTTGATCTCTCACATTTCTACTTGTCTCTTCTAATCAACCAATGGACGTACCAAGCCCAAGCTTACCGTACTATAATATTTGTTCAAATGCATTAGAAGCAATTGCGAGTTTCATGGTTTTACTTTTATCTCTAAATTTCGATGTAGAGTCGATGTAGGTATGCATCATATTCGCGGATATTTTGGTCAGTTCTCGTATCCTATTAGTCGTATTCCTCATTCCAATCAACGTCTGCCAAACATTCGGTTATTTAAAGAATCATTTCTATTATTTTCTCTTTTACACTTTCTACTTTTTAATTTATTATTTCTTTCGCCTGATATGGCGCACTCATAAAACTCCTATAACCACCGGTCTTGGGGCTAGAAATATCTAAGGTTGCCGGCAAACTTTACTGTTGCCCAACTAACAAAAAAGACCAAAAGACGGAAGCAAACAACCCTTTTGGATGATTACGGAACCCTTTCACAAACGTGATTTCCAAATCAGACGACGACATAAAAGGTTAACGTACGGGTAGATAAACGGCAACAAATCCTGAGATGAATAATCTAGGGAGTCCTAGACCTAGGGTAGTGCCACCTCTACTCCTTGTCGTTTCGGTTTATTTCAGGTTCTTTGGTCAGGGTAATAGGCAATGTTTTTAAAACCCCTATTGTGTAAATGTCGGTGCATCGTCTACATCTGCGCACATACTTTCTACAATTGCTACTATTAAAATAGTGCTCGCAAAATATAAGTAGCATTGTTTCTACAAAAAACTTCTATCTGGATTTGTCCTGCTAGTAGTTTGGGTTCAGACTGTGGAGGGAAAACAAGAGGCACATATAATTATCCAAGGATTTTCACATTTCACAACTGCTGTATGATTCGATCTTTTCAT